AGTATCACGTAAGTTACCAGATATAGAATCTGGGTGAGCATCTTGCAAACGGAAGATACTTTCAATAACACTTAATTCTGGAGCAGTAGTATCCAAACCAGTAACAGCTAAGTAATCATTTACAACCATACCGGCACCAACAACTGAACTACCACGGTTAACAGTACCAGCAACTAATGGTACTTGTAATAGGGAAGATAATTCTTCTTGATCTTGAATGCTAGTTTGTGGATGAACTAAACCACCTTGATTACTTAATGCACAATATGATCCAACAAGGATATTACCTGAAATTGTTTGTCTGAAAACTTCAACACCTAAAACATCACTTATTAATTCCTCAGTTTCTCTATCAATATCAGGATGAACTAAAGCAACGTAATCATTACAACAGATTACGTTACCTAAGGCAGATAATCTTTCTTCGACTCTTTGAATTTTAACAGAATCAGGCAAACTATTTCTCAAATGCAATAATTCTTGATCAGTAGTTTGTGTTGGGACTAATAGACCTCTACGATTACCAGCAGTCATTCTACCTACAATACGAGTACCTGCAATAGTAGTGTGAGCGATTGGGATAGCATCACCTAATTCGGCTTCAAAAGCAGAATAGAAATTTTCAGAGCCACCTAAAGCAACCAAACAATAAGTGTTGGTTAACTTAGAAAAAACACCTATTTCATTAGAATTTTCAAACTGAGTTCTAGTAGCCATTTCAATTCAATCAATTAATCAAGTGATAAGTTCAATAAAATTTTTTATATTTGTCTAATATAGTGAATCGGTAATGGTAAAAAGCTTCCTCACCGATAATCAAATTCAAATACACACTGATATCAAATTTTTAAATTATACAATATTAAATATAAATATAAATAAGTATCTATTATATATTATTAACTATTTTAATACATTATTAACTATTTTAATACATTATTATAAATCATCCTTCATTATTAATATCATCTCATCCATCTCTTATTGGAATTTTTCAAAAATGCGATGAGATTGAAAATTTTTCAAACTATCAAAATCAGGGTAACTGAAAGAGTATGGTATATAAAAAAACGTCATAATGAAGATAGAAAGAGTGAGTATCTGAGAGGAAAGAGAAGTTTGGTGAAGGTACGATGAGAAATTGTTTAAAACTTAGTATTGATTTAAAAACATTAGCACCTACTTAACCTAATTCGATGCAACACATTTCATAATCCAGTATAAATATTACAATTCATAATTGATACTGTTCAGACTTAGTAAGTTTATTTGATTTTTATTATCTTTATTTGAAACATCTGCTATTTCACAAACCATACCAATAGGTCCTTTATCGCAATCTGCACATATCAGGTATTTAATACATTTCGTAACTTCCCAAGTGTTTCCCTTAAAATTTAAAATAAATTTTGAATCATCAAGTTGCAATTCTAAATCTTGTGGAATTTCTTTTGAGACCCCAACATTATCAAAATCCCAAATATCATTAACAATTAAAAATTTACCCAAAGAAACATCTTTAATATTATTCTGCATTAACTTAAATATATCATAAACATCAGAAGACCATTCAATGACTTTGCTTTCATCAACGGTAATGATTTGACTATTACAATTATCAAATACACACTTAGCTGTACCCATAATTAAGATTTTTTTACAACTTGGCTTATATATCTATCTGTCTTATTTAAATTATTAGCACCTCTGTAGTGATTAAAAATTTCCAAATAACGTCGTCAATCTTCAGAACAATGGTGACTTTAATTATAAAAATTCAATTAAATTATCTAATATTAGGAACCACGATCTAGAAAAGAGTTCAATACTAGTATGTTTTCCGTTCTCTTTCTTGCCGAATAGGGAGCTGCCAATCTATCAGTATATATATATAAAGGCATTCAATTGCAAATTAGCATTCGAATAATTGTATATTTGAAGAGTTAGACTTATAATCGATTGGTATTGTTCATTACGTCTTCTTGTCACCGCTAGTCTGATTTGATTTGATTTGATTTTGGTTTGGGCTTAAATTTGATTTAGTTAGATTCCATCACGTTACCCGGATACAGTCAGATTTACCCTCCTTCCACCTTTCAGTCACCAAACACTTTCGACAAAAGATCAGGCGCCAGCGTCACAAAGTTGATAAAAAAATAGAAAACAAACAATTAAAGATGTTCAAACAAAATAAGAAAGAGTAATTGTGATATATTATAGTTGTCTCAGGTATAAAAAGAGGCCGGATAACTTGAACAAAAGAATATCGTTCTTTCTGTATACTTCAACAGTTCCAAGAAAAACTAGTTTGTCTTGGGAGATTGAATATCTGGAAAAACCTTACTAATTCAATTATAGTAGGGATCAGTGGGGAAAAAAAAATAAAGTGAAAGGCAAATTATAGGTTAATAGAAACTTCAAAAGGTTTTGATACAATTATTAATTATAGGTATTTACATTAGGAAATAAGTAATTGTTCTTGTTAATATATTTCTTTTTTTAAACAATACCATCGAATTTATTCTACTCTAAATCTGTCCCTACAATGGCAATTGTTGATATTGGGGAATTTACTGATAATTTTGGTTCTCTTACTTTAAGAAACCCTAATATTAAAGACTCAACTTTATCAAAAAAATTAGATATACTAGAATTTGGAAGCATACCAGGAAAGGAAAATTCAAATACCAGAGGCTCTTCATATTCTGTGAATTCTAGTCAAATGATGTTATCTTGTTCAAATTCAGAGGAAGAAGAAGATGAAGAAGATGATGACAATGGGGAAGAGCAAGATAAAAGAGAGGATATTAGAAATATAATAGATACAGATGGAAACCCCAATGGAGAAAACAAAAGTATTATCGAAAAGGAACTAGAATTGAAGAAGTTCTTCAAATCTGAGAAAAATTCAAATCCAATATTAAAAACAAAATTTACAAAGCTGAGGCATAGAGATAATAATATAAATCCAAATTTCAATATTATTACCAAAACACTAGATGAAAATGAATCCATACAAGGAATAAGGAATGAAAATTATCATTTGAAGTTGGCTTTGAAGGAAAAAGAAGATGAATTAAAAAATGTTTTAAAAAATATGAAACAAATGAATAATTTTGAAACGTCAATAAATCCAATTACATTGAACAATAGTAATTTAGACAAATTGATTAATATCGAAGGCGAAAATTTTAATAAACAAAGTCTACTCCTGAATGAATTCGATATTATTTCTCATATATCTGGTTCTCCATATAAAGGCAATAGAATACCATCGAGAATAACAGAAAGTTCGTTAGCTAGCACAACTATTTCAAATAAAATAAACAATCACCAGTTATTTACAAAATCAATAATACCATTTTTACAAAAGATAATCCAAATTTACAATTCAAATTTCTTATTTGAGGACGAAACTGATGAGCTGATATCTAAATATCATGATTTTGTTGATCCACATCTGGATAATAACTTCAAAGTTAGAGTATTGGATGAAATGTTAGATGAATTAATCTTCTTACAAAGACAATTAATTGGTATATTAAATAGGGAATTGCACTATAAAAAAATTACAAGAAGATTGGAAAAATCATTAATTGACTTTTTTGATGTAAATTCATTTGTTTCTCAACCTCCAGAATATGTCAAAAAATTAAAAGATGATATATTAGATACGTTGGTTCAAATTTTTGGTTATAATATTCAAAATATCGAGCAATATGACTCTTATTATGAAAAAGATGTTTTCAATAGTTATAAAACCAGTCTTTTCACTAAATATTCAATGGCGGCAGATGAAGATGAAAACAAGATATTAATTCCCAAAACAGAGGTGCAAGAAAAGTTGAAGAATATCAAAGAAGGATTAAACCTCTACTCAAAGAATATTTTTAAAACCAAAAATTCTTCTCAGACAGACTTCAGTTCTAATCGTAGCGATGGGTCTAGCTCAAGTTATTTTGGAGATGATTTAGAAGATTCTGTTAAAGATAATGAAAATATACCTTTTAAAAAAGATACCAATTCTAACTCCAGTAGCTTCAGCGGGAACTCCTGTACAAGTATAAAAGAAAAGGATAGATTAAAAGAAAGCAAAAATAATTTAGAATTTTACCCCATTGGATTTAACGAAGAAATGCTTCTTTCTAAAACTCCACAAAAAAATATGAACAAAACAACAAATAATGAAAATATTACACCGATATCTTCTTTACAAGAGAGAATTTTTAATGATGAAAGTGATGCATTACAGGATTTTTTGCTTGAACAATTGGATTCTCTAGAAATGTAATTTATAAATATAGCAATTCTTTATTTGTAATAAATTAATTATACAAAAATGAACAAAAAAATAAAAAAAGCTTGATTAATTTATCAAATTATAATAATTCTCATCAACAAAGTTGATATTTCCTGCTCAATCAAGGCTAATAAGCAACAATAATTTGAAGCACATCTAATCAAATTAATAAAGTTATGTAACTCTGTCATCAGCAAGTGACAGATCAGATCAGATCAGATCAATCAGACAACTATCAACCTGTTTTTTCACAGAAGCCTCTGACGCGACGCGTAAATTTCAAATTTATTCTTTTTTAAATTAAATTCAAGGTTTTCGTGTATCACTTTTTTTTTTGATGGAAAATTAGTATATAAAAAGATGAGACCTTGATTATCGTAGATGGATTAAAGAAGAAGATACACATATACTCACAACTATATATACAGGTATAGGAAACAAGAAGAACTCATATAGTAATTAGCCTTGAGAAGCTATAGATAGTAGGACTTTTGTAGATTGGCGGTATTCAGTTGGCTACATAGATTTATTTTTCGTAACCTGAAGAGATTTGGTTTAATTCAGTGAACTAAGCAGTTTTTTCAACAGTGGATTTGCACATACCTATAAGTTTATACATATTCAAATACATATAGATCGTGGGTGATATCGGGATTGATTGTTATTCTTTTATTTTGAATTCAAATTTTATCTAGAAGATTCTATTACTTTTTTCACCAAAATCAAATCGGTTTACCATTATCAATTAAAATGACTAGTCCTGAGAAGGAATCATCCAAAGATGGTAATAAACAAGGTATTTTAACATTTTTTCAAAATAATACTCCTTCAAAAAAGAAGATTAACAAGAAAAATATTTCTAAAGACATCTCAAAAGATGACACAGGAAATAAGATAGAAATTATTGACTTGGATATTGATCATCCAATAGAAAAAAATAACTTGAAGGAAGTTGAAACTGAATTGAAAAATGATTCAACAGTTAAATTGAATGACAGTGTCGAACAAAAAGATAACAAACAAGAAGTGGTCGACTCTGATAAAGATGAGGATACAAAACTGAGTAAAAAAGATTTGGCAGCAATTAGAAGAGAAAAATTGAAAGAAGAGAAAGAATTGAAAAGACTCGAAAGAGAAAAAGAAAAACAGAAAAAAGAAGCTCAAAGGTTAGAAGAAAAATCTAAACGTGAATCGAAGTTAGAAGAAGAGAAACGCAAAAGAGAAGAAAAGGCTGCTGAAGTTAAACGTAGAAGAGAAGCATTAAAATTACAAAAGGAAGAAGAAAAACGTAAGAAAGAAGAAGAACGATTAGAAACTAAAAGAAAAAGAGAAGAAGAAAAACTAAAGATTGAAGAAGAGAAAAGATTAAAAGAAGAAGCTAAAGAAAGAGCACAATCCAGGATTGGTAATTTTTTCAAAAAAGTACGTGATTCATCTAATGAAGAATCAACTAGATCTGATTATGAAAAAATCTTTTTAAAATTTCATGCTAAAGAAGGTATTAATATTTCAAAAGGTTTCAAATTATCAGAATCTACATTAAAGGAAAAGATAAATGAGATTGATTCTCTGCTGAGGGAAACAAATGAAGACAATGAAGATGTATCACAATGGATAAAATCAAGGACCAACAAAAGAGGTTACAAAATAAAATCCACAGCTGTATCAGTTCTTCAACAAATGACTTCAAAGGATAAAACAGATGAAGAATTACAAGTTTTACTATCACTGGTTCCAAATAAATACATAAAATTTTATGAAAATGTCAGGCCACCATATATTGGAACTTATTCAAAAGATATTGTAATCCCTGTAGACAATCCTTTTACACAAGAGGGAACAGGATATAATTATGACTATGATTCTGATCTAGAGTGGGTCGAAGAAGATGAAGAAGGCGCAGATGCAGAAAACTTAGAGTCTGGTGAAGAAGATGAAGAAGATGATGATGAAGAAGAAGAGGCAAGTGAAGGTGAATTTGACGGATTTTTAGATACAGAAGATAAAACCGGAGAAACCAAAAAAAGGAAATATGCTGGTCCATTAATACCTACAGTTTATCTAAGAACAGACATAGAAACGTTGGATAAAGAAAACCAAGAGTATTTTGAAAAAGTCGCAGTTCAATATTTGATAAAAACACAAAAGTTCCCAATTGATCCAAAGAAAAGTTCGATACTCAATAACAACGCATCTCCTAGTAAAAGAGCGCTAACAGATTCATCAAATAGTGGAGTATCAACACAAGGAAATAGCCCTATGGGGTCACCAGAAAAGAAAGCTAAGACGATAATTACTGAAGTGAAAGATCTCATAACATTATTCGAAGAATTAATAGATAGTTCATTTTCATTGGCAACAATGACAGAAATTGTACAAAAAACTTTACCGCAGTATAACAAACAAACAATCAAGAATACAGTCAAAGAATATGCAATCAGGGGTACAGGCAAAGGAGATACACCACGTACATGGAGTCTGAAAGATGGTAATCAATTAGAGAATCTTCGACAAAATCAAGAATCTCTACCTCAATAAAATATTGACAAAAGTGAATAAATTCAATAGCATTTTTAATATATATATATATTAACGAAGAGATAAATCTATATGTAACTATTTAAAATATAATGCAATAGAAGATATCTCGATTGTAATCAAAAGAGTTAAAGTACCTTTCGCTGTTATGCATGGCTTGGTCGATGAGGTATGCCAACTATAAAATCATCTGTTTATTAGATTTCCTAAAAGGGTAATCGCATAGCATTCATTTTTGACTATAAAACCAAACCAAAAAGAAAAAGAAAAGACAATATATAAAAACGAATAAAAATGAAAAATTGTTAGATAGACATACAATCCAATTAATGATCAAGAACTGTTGTATCGTTAGCTGTCATAAATAGGATTCAAGACACTCTAGATTACAAATATCCTTACATAATTTTGCGAACTAGATCCAGATTAGTTTGTTTAACTGTCGTGTTGCTATTGCTCTCTAATTAGGGCCATATTCCAGATATATAGTTTAGACTAGGGCCAAAAACAAAAAAAAGGAATTAATAGAACGGTATAAGGCTGAAAAGATATATAGACTTAATTTGATATAGTCAATTGGTAGTGGTGAATATAAAAAAAATACAAATAAACAAGAACAATTCACTTCATATTATATCATATTATCTTTTATTACATCATATTAATAATCTGGGAAAATGTCTGATCAACCAAGTTCTCCGTCGAGAAATGTAAATCAGAATGCACCTTCTTCTCCAAATGGAGCTGAACCCAGTTCGATGCCACCACAGCCTTCTTCTCCTGCTTTATTTTATAACTCATCTTCTTCTCAAAGGGATACATATGAACGTGATAGTGCCAATAGAAACTCGAATCGTAATAGGAATAGTGATAATGGTGTAACCGGATCCTCTCCATTTAGATATCCTTCTTCATCTTCTCAAAATATTGGATCCCAACGTTCTGATCATAGGGGACAAGGTAGAAATCCAAACCAAACCAGACTATCTAGCCAGCCTAATAGACTGTCAGATTTCAGAAGTGATAGATCTGTACCTCACTCTTCTTCCTCCTTGAATGGTCGTTCTAATGGTCACCGTTCACAAATGAGAAGAAATGATATTCATGCATCTGATTTATCTTCTCCAAGAAGAATTGTCAATTTCGATTCTAGATCTGGGTTACTATCTTCCTCTTCTTCCGCTCCTCCATCAGAGGCTTCTGAACCGTTGAGAATCATTTGGGGTACTAACGTCAGTATTCAAGAATGTGCTAATAACTTTAGAAATTTCTTAATGTCCTTCAAGTATAAATATAGGAAAACCTTGGATGAAAGGGAATCATCTATCAATGATACCACTGATGAAGAGTTATATTATATAAAACAATTGAACGAATTGAGAGAATTGGGTATATCAAATCTAAACTTGGATTCAAGAAATTTGTTGGCATTTAAACAAACTGAAGAATTATATTATCAATTGTTGAACTATCCGCAAGAAGTTATTTCCATCATGGATCAAACAATTAAAGATTGCATGGTCTCACTAGTTGTTGACAACGATTTGGACTTCGATTTAGATGAAATTGAAACAAAGTTTTACAAGGTTAGACCCTTTAATGTTGGTACTAAGAAAGGTATGCGTGAACTAAATCCGAACGATATTGATAAACTTATTAGCATAAAGGGTTTAGTATTAAGATCCACACCCGTTATTCCAGACATGAAGGTTGCATTTTTCAAATGTAACGTCTGTGATCATACGATGGCAGTTGAAATCGATAGAGGTGTTATTCAGGAGCCTGCAAGATGTGAACGTATTGATTGTAATGAGGCAAATTCTTTATCTTTGATCCACAACAGGTGTTCTTTTGCTGATAAACAAGTTATTAAGTTGCAGGAAACTCCAGATCTGGTTCCTGATGGTCAAACCCCTCACTCTGTTTCACTATGTGTGTATGATGAATTAGTGGATTCTTGTCGTGCTGGTGATAGAATTGAAGTTACAGGTACCTTTAGATCTATCCCAGTGAGAGTCAATTCAAGACAGCGTGTATTGAAATCATTATACAAAACCTATGTAGATGTGGTTCATGTAAGAAAAGTTTCTGATAAAAGAATGGATGTTGACACTTCGACTGTTGAACAAGAACTACTACAGAATAAGTTAGATAATAACGAAATTCAAGAAGTAAGAAGATTAACTGATGAAGATCTGGAAAAAATAAGAAGTGTAGCAGAAAGAGAAGATCTATATGAACTTTTAGCGAGATCAATAGCTCCAAGTATTTTTGAATTAGATGATGTTAAAAAGGGTATACTTTTACAACTTTTTGGTGGTACAAATAAAAAGTTTACCAAAGGTGGTCGTTATAGAGGGGATATAAATATTTTGCTATGTGGTGATCCTTCAACTTCAAAATCTCAAGTATTACAATATGTTCATAAGATTTCTCCTCGTGGTGTTTACACCTCTGGTAAAGGTTCTTCTGCTGTTGGTTTAACAGCTTATATAACAAGAGACGTTGACACGAAACAATTGGTGCTAGAGAGTGGTGCTTTGGTCTTATCAGATGGTGGTGTCTGTTGTATTGATGAATTTGATAAAATGAACGATTCTACAAGATCGGTTTTGCATGAAGTTATGGAACAACAAACAATCTCGATTGCAAAGGCTGGTATCATTACAACTCTAAATGCAAGAACATCAATCCTTGCAAGTGCTAATCCTATCGGCTCCCGTTATAATCCAAATTTGCCTGTAACTCAAAACATTGATCTCCCACCACCGTTGCTTTCAAGATTCGATTTAGTGTATTTGGTTTTAGACAAGGTTGACATGGATACTGATAGAGATTTAGCCTTACATTTAACGAGATTGTATATGGAAGATAAGCCAAAACATGTTACCAATTCTGATATTTTACCTGTTGACTTTTTAACAATGTACATCAACTATTCTAAAGCCAATATTCATCCAGTTATAACCGAATCGGCAAAAGTGGAATTAGTCAAGGAGTATGTCAATATGAGAAAGATGGGTGATGACTCTAGATCTGATGAGAAGAGAATCACGGCAACCACCAGACAATTGGAAAGTATGATTCGTTTATCTGAGGCTCATGCAAAGATGAGATTATCTGAAAGTGTAAATGTCGAAGATGTACAAGAAGCAGTCAGACTAATAAAATCAGCTATCAAAGATTATGCAACAGACCCAAAGACAGGTAAAATTGATATGAATTTAGTCCAAACCGGTAAATCAGTTATCCAAAGAAAATTACAAGAGGACTTGGCTAGAGAAGTGATTAAGATATTAACAGACCATACATCTGATTCTATGACATATAATACATTGACCAAAATATTAAATGAGCAGTCTCAAGATAGGGTTGATTCTTCTGATATCTCAGAAACTTTAGCTAGATTGCAACAAGAAGATAAAGTTATCGTTCTTGGTGAAGGTGTGAGGAGATCTATCCGTTTGAACACTCGTGTGTAATACTAATAATACTAATAATAATAATACCTATACTAATACTAATATAATAAATTCATCGTTCCAAATAGAAAAACAAAACAATAAAAAATGAAAAAGAAGTGAGAACATCTAAAGATTTGATTGATTAATAATTTACGGTTCCTATATATACGATATAGTTTTGTTTATTACAAGTTTTACTAATGATATGACATTGTTTTATATAATATAAATTTACTATTTAGTGTCGTTGACACCTTTTCAGAGAGTTTTTCTTTGCTGGGATAATTTTTATTTTTTTTTAGGTGTTGCCAAATATTTTCAAAAAGCCCACCAGTTCAATTACTACATTATTGTCACCATTCTCGATCGATTCACCACATATAAGCTAGAGATCTGATACGTTCTGTAATCACTTCCTTATATATTAATTCAGGCATTGCATTACTATATGTGATTCTTTCTTAACATATGATTGGCTCTCGTGATATCATTGTGAACGTGACTCTAATTATATGTATTTTTTCCAACATCATCAAAACTGGACATGGAAATATGAAAGTTTTGATGAAGTCCCCTGGTTCAGTTCAATTTTAATCCTAATCTTAATCAATTAACAGTTTAATAGATCAATTCAATTAGCTGATAAGTATATCTTCAATTATATCAATAACTTAATCGAGACTACGATTTTAATTGGTTAATTTCATAGTAGGAGAAATACCTTAATTGTTTATCAAAGCGTACGTATTACGATGTTGGGAAGAATTCAATCATTCACTAGCTGTCTAGCTACTAAGACTAATATTTGGACTGCCAAGACTGTTTACTATGGTAAGGTCGGTTTAGAAATTTCTAAACAAGTATATGCAAAAGAAGGTTTACAACCACCAACCGTTGCTCAATTTAAACAAGTTTATAACAATGCTTACAAGAAAGGTTTGGAATATGTATATGAACCAAAGAAAGTTGTTTCTTGTGCTCAAAAATTGCAAAGAAAAGATTTAGTTAAGTATGGTGCGTTAGGTATTCAATTATTAGGTTTCTATTCTCTAGGTGAAATCATTGGTAGAAGACACTTGGTCGGCTACAAGTCTTACACAACTCATCATTAATTTTTACAACCTTAACATTTTCGACGTTTATTTAAAAAAGAAAATTTGCAATAAACTGCAAATCAAGAAGAATCAAAAGAAATATGAAAAAGACAAACCATTATTTTTTTTTACTTTAAATCCATCGAGAACTTTATATTCTATATTCCATCTTTTCACTGTTATATATCTATTTGAAATGCTTTTATTCGGAGTACTAACTAATACTTCAATATGAATTATAAGTCATCTATAAATATTAATTTGTATATATAAACACTAATCCCCATGTCAATTTTATAATAAATAAGTAAATAAATAAAAAACATCTCTTTTAATTATTGTCTGTCCTTTAGTAAATGACTATTCCATGTCTACCTAAACTAACTTGAACAATTATTCAGTTTCTTTAGTTTCAATCGCCTTTCTCTTTTTTGATGCTTGAATCATTTCTAATTTACGCTTTCTTTTGATCTTATCAATCTTAGGAACAGTACTTATTTGCTTACGTTCTGAATGCGCTCTACCCTTTTTAACCAATTCTTTCTCCTTTTTAGTCATCTTAGATACTTTTTCCATCCATTCTGAGATTTCACTACCACTTTGCTTCATGACATTAATAATTGGCTTAATTGCAATAGAATCTTCTTTTGTGTAAAAAGTGACGGCTTTACCTGAACGACCACCTCTACCAGTTCTACCGATTCTATGGACATACGCTTGTGCAGTTCTTGGAACATCATAATTAATAACTAAATTTACTCCCTTAAAATCGACACCACGAGCTAAAACATCTGTAGTAATTAAACACCATAAATCACCACTCTTGAATCTTTCAATAATTTTATTTCTTTGCACCTGAGTTCTTTCAGCATGAATAACATCAACATTCAGGCTATCGTACATCATTTCATGATACAATGCCTTTGCTCTTGTAATGGATTCTAAAAATATTATCACCGGTGGTTTGAATTCACCTTCTTGAACAAGTTGCTTAATGGCAATCAGTTTACCTTCTTCGTTACCACAGAAAACTAATTTTTGTTCAATACTTGTGTTTGCAGCTTCTTTATGACCAATTATTACTCTCACAGGATCCATCATGATAGATTTAGCGATTTCTTCAACATTTGATGGAATAGTTGCGGAAAACATCGATTTCCTTAATGAAGAATGGCTACAAGAGCTTAAAATATCATCCGATTGTTCAACAAAAGTTTTATCGAACAGTTTATCAGCTTCATCAAATATTAGATGTTTAACTTGTGATAAATCCAATGCTTCATTCTTAACAACGTCTATCAATCTCAATGGTGTAGAAACGATTATATCGTATTTTTTATCACTAATAACTTTATTTCTAAGTTTTGCACTTAATGATTTAGATAATAATGCAACTTGTAAAGGACGTTTCTTATCTAAAAATATTCTATTTGATAATTTGATACATTCCAAAAAAATTTGATTTGCTAATTCTTTGGTTGGTGAAATAATTAAACCTTTTAAACCTTGTGTATCTTTATCATTTATGACTTGTTGTATTAGTGGTATTAAAAATGCCAAAGTCTTACCAGAACCTGTTGGTGCACATGCCAACATGTCACGATTATTTAAAGCTAATGGGATAGCCTCACATTGAATTGGAGTTGGTTCTGTAAAATGATTTAAAATCAAATTATTCAATAAACGTTTATCGAATGAAAATCTAGTAATTAAATCTTCAAAAGAGCCAATAGGTAACGGAATGTCTTCACCTGAAACATTAGACTTGTTAGATTTACGAAGCAATTTAGCTTCTTCATCATTTGTGATCAGAGGTTTCTGGTATTGCAAACTTTCTTCTTCTTTAATCTCATCTTCTTCGTTATCATTATCTTTATCCTCTTTATCTTCAGCATGAGTTTCCTTTGCCTTATTATAATTGACTTTATTAATTATTCTCTTGTTGTGAAAGAAATCTAATTCTTTAGTTATTTGATTCTCAGCAGCAATTTTGTCATTCTTTTCAATATTTGATGCTTTGGCATTTTCAACAGCGTCACCGATATTCTTGTTTTTGGGATCTTTTTTAACAGATGCACCTCTAGTCAATAACCTGAAAATATCCATATCTTAATTATCAACTCTTATACACAACTACCTAGATTCTAAGTAACCTATCTACTTTAATCTTTTCCAATTATTTTTATGATCATCTCATCTTATTTCATCTCATCTCATCTCATCTCATCGGTTTCTTTATATATTGGCTTTTAAAATTTTTCAAGATTATTCAATTTGATCTGTCCGGAATAACCATGGTTTTATATATTTAAAAGTCGGACAACAACACATTAAAAATGATAAAATTGACAGATGAAAGGATAATACAATAAATTAAGTCATTAATTTATAAAAATTTAATATATGTGAGTAATTTATATGCCTAATCTATTTATTTAAAGAGTTGCCTACAGTATATTCTTTTACCTTTTGATGTAACTCTGCTACCCTTTCAGCAGTATCCATGAATAATTTAAATTCTTCGATAACGGTAGCAACCAATGCATTTAAACCATTTTTCAATGCGTATAAATTTGGACCATCTGATGAAGCTTCATGTGTATTGCTACCTGTACCAAATAGGTCGTCATTGATACCATTGACAGTACTTTCGATATCCGATAGAACACGGAAATAATCGTCTAATTTCTTTTGATAAAGTTGAATCTTTTGTTGGAAAAACTTATCTAATTCGATTGATGATACCTTGCTATCTGGAGTCAATAGTTGTTGGAATAAGATAGTAAATTGTTGTGTATTAGAAATACTTTGGTCTGTCGTTTCCTTTATAAATGCAATTTTTCGTAGATCTTGGGATAATGTTTGTTTTGTTATAGATTGATTCTTTGATAAATATGTTATATCTCTTGGTATCGATTGTACCAAAGACATATGTTCCTCTTCGTCTGCTTTTAGATGTTGTGAAATTTGAACTTGTTTTTGAATAAATTGGTCTAATTGTTCAATTTCTTGACGTAATGCAGGTGGTAAATCGATTATTCTGGTCATTGGGGTAATAGGTAATTGAGAAATAGAGTATATCGCTGATTGCTGAACAGATTGTTGTTGTTGTTGTTGTTGACCACCGAATAGACCGACTCCACCACCTAGAGTCGATGATTGTGTGTTTCCAAATAGAGAAGAGCCTGTACCACCCAAGGTAGTATTTCCAGCTGCAGAATTGCCAAATAATCCACCGCCAGTGGTAGTACCTAAAGGTTTTGCACCAAATAATCCACCGCCAGTGGTTGGAGTAGGAGCAGTAGCATTAGCACCACCGAATAGACCACCACCAGTAGCAGTAGCAGATGGGGCTGCTCCTGCGGGCTTGGCACCAAATAAACCGCCACCAAGACTACCTGGAGCAGCTGTGGTAATTCCGGCAGGTTTACTTCCAAACAATCCACCCCCAGTGGTTGTATTGGTAGCAATGCCTGTGTTGGAACCAAACAGACCACTGCCAGGAGCTCCTGTTGCTGGCTTTGCACCAAACAGACCCCCAGAAGCTGTGTTTGTAGTGCCAATATTCATAGTTTGATTTGAAGAACCAAAAAGTCCACCGCCAGTACCTGCTGTTGCATTTGTACTTGTATTTGAACCAAATAAACCGCCAGTGGATTGACCAGCACCGCCCCCTGGAGCAGCAGTACCTTGATTAAAACCAAAACCACCACCTTGAGTAGCAGTACTGGCACCAGGAGCACAGCCAGCTCCACCTAATGGCTGTTGTTGCTGTTGTTGTTGATTGTTAAATGGGAACCCGGTATTTGATGAAGCCGGCTGACCTCCAAATGAGGTATTAGTTTTACCAAAATTAAACATTCTTACTTGACTTATACCCGCAATTCAGGTATTATAACAATTCAATTGACTATACAATTCAGTCAGACCTTACAAATATGTGATATCAATTATTCTTTTAGTTTTATTTAATCAAATCTCGATTATTTTTCAACTTTCTTGTTCTTTTTTTTTTTTCGTTCTTTTTGGGTTGAAAAATAACAATTTCGATAATATTGAACTTCGGGTTCGATACACACGTGATCCAAAATGGCTAATATCGTGAATATTACTGGATTATATATGCATCGAGGAAAACATAGTTTGTGGGAAAGTGTATTACCTCTAAAAAGTCTAAGTCCGTTTTAGAAATTTATTTTATTTAAGGTTTAAGCATGTGTTCCCACATACTTGATACAAGTTAATGGTTTTATGTTCCCACTGCCCTTATTAAACAAGTGACATCTGTACCATTCCTAAAAAGCCCCCATCGGAAGGTTTGGGTTTCCCCCTGAAAAACCCTAACTAACTTAGTATATACCGAAAATATGGGGTGGGGTTGTGAAAAAATTTTTTTTAACAACTTCCTTTCTCATATGCATCTGACGAGTATTATAGCTGAACGGCTACATTATAGAGATATCAAATCCCCGCGCCTCATATTACCATTCTCATAACGCGCTCAAAAGAACAAGACTACTAGAATATAGAATTTTTCCGCTATATCGCAAGTGTAGCCTGGTCATTTACTCTTACTCACCTGATAATAAATGTGATCAATAAATATTTCCATGATCCCCTTGATCCGATGTATTGACTTACGATGTTTTCTAA